TTTTTCTTCAAGTTTTTATTAATTATTTTCTCTTAAGATAATAAAGATAATAAAGTTTGAAATGTTATCTTCGAAAAATAGTCAAAAATTATAATCCTTTACTCATATTATTTATTTCTTAATTTATTTATATTATTCGGCATAAAATATTTTTAATCATAATAAAATTATCAAAATTTAAAATTATATATTATTTGATGATCCCGTGAGGAATATAATATTGAAAGCCCCCTTAACTATATCCTTCAATTTAATATTATTAATTTAATATTATTAATTTAATATTATTAATTTAATATTATTAATTTAATATTATTAATTTAATATTATTAATTTAATCTAAACTAAATATTATTATAAAAAGAATTATTTAAAACAAATCGAGAAGCTTAGTATTTAAAAGCTTTAAATAAAGAAAATAATTTTATTATAATTTTTTTTTCTTATAAATTTTTCTTATAAATTTTTTTATAAAAAGTTAAATAAAAGCTATTTTATTTTAGTTTCTTAACTTTTAATAGTAAATTCCTTAAAATAGCTCGGATTTTATAAAATACTATATAAGTATTCTTTTTATTTAATTATTTACTTTTAATTAATACGATTTTTTTTAAAAAATAGTTTTTATAATTAGTATAAAAGTAATATTAAAAAACTAGTTATTACTAAAACTTTAAATAGCGAGTTTTATTCTAATAAAAAAAATCGAAATCTTAATATTATTTTCTTTATAAATTACAAAAAAGTAATTATTTTTAATAAAAAGTTCTTTTCAAATATTAATTATCTTTCTATTTATAATAAATATAAAATAATAAATATTATTATAATAGGCTAATATTTTAAAAAGGCAATATAGAAAAAGACCTCTAATATATTTTATATAATTAGATAAATAAATGGCTTTAATTAAATTATTTATAAATTTAAAATAATAAGCAAATAATACTTTATTAATAATATAAATAAAAATAAAAAGTTTTATAATAATCTATTATTTTATAATTCTTTTATTATAACTTTATTAAATCTAATTATTATTAAAAATAGAATTTATAAAGAGAATTTCTTTTATAAAGTTATTAAAACTTATTATTAAAAGCTTATTTCTTTTATTAAAAATTAATTTAAAAATACTAATAATAATATAAAATTTAAAAAAGCTATTTATTTATAATATATTTTACTATAAAAAGGGTTTTTAATATCTAGTTATAAAAGTAGAAATTAAATAATAATTAAAGATAAATACTAATTAATATAAAGAATTATATTAGATTTAGTATAAAAATATATCTAAGCGAATTTAAATTACTTTTAAATAAATTCGGAAATATAAAATAAGATTATTTAATAATAATAAATTATATTTTACATATATTAAAAAGAATTCAAAATAATTAATAAAAGAGAATTCTAATTATTTTATTATTTCAAACTTTAAATAGAAGCTTTTTATTAGTTTTTAATATTAAGGAAATAAGTATAAATAAATAAAGAATTAAATATAATATAATAAGCCGTATTTTATAAAAATTATATTATTTTAATAGTTTTAAAATTTTAATTATATAATAAATACTAGGGCCTCTTATATATAACTTGCGGGAATTATATAAGAAAGCTAGCTTTTTAATAGTTTTTAAGCATTTATTTATTCTTTATATTAATTAATTAAGCTTTTGTAATTATATACTATTTATACTTTATTATATATATTTTTATTCTTATTATTTTGCTATTAAGTCACGTTTTATACTTTAATATACTTTATATGGGTTTTTGTCTTATTGCAGTTTCCTTCTTATATTACTCTTATACTAGTACTGCTATTATTTCTTACCGGAGAAGCTTCTTAGTATAGGGGAGTCTTCTAGTACTTACTTAATATCTTTAGCCAACCGAGGAAGCTTTCCAGTATAACGAGCCTACTAACAGAAGTCCGTTTTTTAAGGGCATTTCGCTAAGAAACCAACCCTATTACTATTTTGGACACTTTTGTTTTATATTTAGAATTAGGTTTGAGGGCTCTCTAAACTCAACCCGGCTTCTTCTATTATACGTACTTGAATTCTATATAGTTTTAATCTATAGTTACTGAAAAAATGTAAAGTGAAGTGGGCGATTTGAGTTTTGCGACACCTGAAAACATCGCTAAAAACACGGACTTCTGTCGGTAGGTTCGTAACTAGCTTTCGTTATTAATTCCATTATGAAACCTTCAATAAAGCTTAAAATATTCACTGCAAAGGCCCTGTTTCGTACGGACACACGTCTTTTGATTGCCAGCATTCGCCAACAACCAAATACTAGCGTTTAATACTCAGTATTCAAAGCTAGTATTTATATAATTTAGAGGTATTTCGCAAAATGCAAATACTCAATAACCATTGTAATTACGGAAGTTTTAGAATAATCTCTGGTAATCTTAAATCTCAAGGCTTACTTTTCTTTAGTAATTACTCCCTATAATTATAGGGTATTATAGTCTAATAATTATTTCTCTCCTAAGGCAAAAGTAATTAATTAATTACTTTATTATAGCTATCCTATTAAAAAAGAATTCACAATAGAAATTGCACGAGAAGCGCGAAATTTATATAATAATTAAAATATTGTGCCTTAAGAAGCGCTATAAAGGTAGTTGGAAAGGACAAAAACCAGTATTCAAATACTCAGTTTTTTCAGAACCACCTACTATAGGTGGTTCTAAAAAAACTACGATTTGTATGGGAGCAAATACTGGTAATCAAATACCAGTGTTTAGTTGCTAGTATACAAAAATTTACGAAACACTGAAATTCCTAATAATCGAAAGCTAGTGTTCGATTGCTGACCATATGCTACGAGTAGCATTCAAAAATTGCGAAACAGGGCCGAAGGCGCGCGGCTTTAAAAACCGTCCATTCCGCTAGGCGAGAGTTTTGAAAATCGCTCACTCGCGGTCAAAAAATCGTAACAAAACTCCCTAAAACTTTAGAACAACAAAGATATGGGAAAAGATACTTTGGCTTCTTCTCTATCACTTAAAGCTTAATTCAAAGCATTCGGACTTCGTGGTGCTCCGATGCGCAATTTTCAGAACCTAGAGATTTTGGTGTTCCTTGCCTTAGCGAAAAATGGACGGATTTTAACAGTGTGTCAAATAATTTAATTAATTATAATTATTGGCCGGTAATCAAATTAAATTAAGTCAGAATCGTAGTAATCAAATTATAATTAATTACTGGGTCACGTGTTATTATACGTGACTACAAAGATAATATAAGCGTTATGGCGCAAAAGTAAAGCGTATTTTACCCTAATTTAGATGTCACCTTATTATTATAGGCTTAATAGCTAGTATCCCGCCTTTACTCGCTTTACTTATCTTTGTAAATAAGTACTACAGTCGGGATTTTGACTTCTCTAGTCACGTGGGTGCGGTCATGTGATATATAGAGCAAATAATTCATATATATATATTACCTTGCTCTCCTTCTCTCTTCTTTGGAAATCAATTAACCTTTACTCTCTTTACACTTTAGTCATATATTATTTAAAGAAAAAGAAGAGAATTTATTACTTATATAACTTTTATATGGGTTTCACGTAATAATTAGAAATATTTAATTATATTTAATTATAATTTTTCTAATAATTAATTTTTTTTTAAAAAGTCAATAATCAAATTATAATTAATTATTTACTTGATTTAATTAAATATAATTAATTACCTTAATTATTTTTTTGACACACTGGATTTTAATGCCGTGCGCCTTCATAACCGAAGTCCCTCACCAAAACACGTCCCGCACCAAAACACGTTTTCGCGAATTTTTGTTTCTTTAATAACTAAATAACTACAAATCCGTTTATTATAAAATTTAAAATTTAATTATATAGAATAATAACCTAGTATAATAATAATATTGGATTTATAATAATTATAATAACTATTAAATTTATATTTATATATATAAAAGAATAAACTTTTAATATAACTTTTTAATTAATATATAAATTATTATAAAGCTATATATTTTATACTTAAAATACTTATACTATTTATAATATATAAAAGATTTTTTATAAAAAGTATAATTTCTTAATAAAATTTAAGTAAAAGTTTAAAGAAAATTAAATTATTATTAATTTTTAAGTTTCTTATAAAATATAACTTAATAAAGAACTTATACTTAATTCCTTTAATTTATTTATAAATAGTATATATAATAAAGCTATTTTGATTTTGATTTTTATTAAAAGTATTATATATATATAAAACTCTATAATTTTAAATTTAGAATAATTTAGAATAATATTATATTATATATTATTTATATTTTAAAGCTCTTTATATAAATAAAAGTAAATATAAATCATTTTTATTAATAATACTATAATATTATTAGTTATATATTAGAGAAGTATATAAAAACAAAATTAAGAATTTCTTTTACTTTTATATTATATAAATCTTTTAAAAATTATTATAAAAAATTTCAGAATTTCAAAATTTAAATCTTTAGTTTTATAATTAACTCTTTAAAAAACAGATTATATAAAAATTTAATATATATATTATAAATACCATAATAAAGTAATAATTTTATAATTTTTTTCGCTTTATAGTATTATATAATATAAAAGTAATATTAATATTAATATATTTTAATTAAAATTATTAAAAATAAAATTTTATAAGATATATTTATTATCTATGTAATTTAATACTATTAGTAGGCTTTATATACTTAGGGAATCCTATATATTGAAAATAAAAGGATTTTATAAAGTGGTTACTTTTTAATTAGTAAAAGTGTTTTTCTTAAGCGCGTGTTTTGGTGCGGGGATCGGTTAGCTCCTAACGGAAACCAAGTACCCGGCGATATAAAACCACACCACGCCTCTCAGTGTAACGCACACAATCTTCTGAGCACTCTTAATAGCAGTTCTCTTTGTTGTATCCTCGCGCACAATCCTTCTAATTCAACCTTCTTTGCCTCAACTGACTCGCCATGACAATCGAGACTAAGCACATCCTGCCGTCCGTTGCGGTCTTTTCTCCACAAAGCAAAGCTCCCACGGCTGCATATCTGAACAGCATTCATGCATTTCTCACAAGCACACTGTACTTGCAGCCATTTGTTAATGCAATTGGCCGCCTTGAGCAAACGTGGCAGATATTTGCCAATCACCGCAAAGACATTGCGGCCTTGAAGCAAGGCCCACGTTACATGAAATCATTTGCAGATTGGATCGCAACGGGCCACTCCGAGCCTATTGCTGACCACATGTCTGGGATATTCGCATTACCCCTCTTGACCATTGTTCAGACATGCCAATACTTGCAATATCTGGAAGCCCGTCAAGTTTCTCACAATGATTTCCAAGAATCATTAAACCGAGGAGGCGGCATCCAAGGATATTGCGGTGGTCTTCTGCCAGCGGCGGCCATTGCATGTTCCAGTAACGAGGACGAGGTTGTTCAAAACGCCATCACCTCTATGCGAATAGCACTAGGGATCGGGGCTTATGGAGAGCTTGGCGATGACGAAAATATACCTGGACCCACTACGATTGTCTTGCGATTAAAGAGACCAGATCAGGGGGAGGAACTGGTGAAAAAATATCCCGGGGTAATTTTGGTTCTATAACGAAACGTTATTTGACTTTCAGCTAATTCGGTGGCAAACAGGCATATATTTCAGCTGTCACAGATCCGAAGACGATAAGTATCGTTGGGACTGTTCCTGTGCTGGAAACGCTATCCGCACACGCTCGGGAGCAAGGTCTTCTTGTGCATGGTGTTCACTTGCGTGGCAAAGTCCACAATCCCGAAAATGCAGAGCTTGCTGAGGATCTCAATGACCTTGCTTGCTCGGAGCCGTCTCTCACCCTCCCGCACTCTCGACAATTACGAATACCAATTCGCTCCAACACGAACGGACAGATCATCTCAGACGCACCACTTACCTCTGAACTGATATACACCATTCTGACGCGCAAGTGCGAATGGTACACGCTCCTGCAAGAGACTGCGAGCGACCTCGTTGCGACCGGCCATGCATCTCACTTGTTTACTGTGTTTGGAATTGGCGATTGCATACCTCTTATGCCTTTTCACATGAAAAATTTGCATATTACCAAACTGGACGTCCTGTCGTACATCGAGAAAGTGTCGGTCCGGGGGAAAGCCGAAAACTATAAATACCCCGAGAACGCCATCGCAATCGTCGGGGCTGCCTGCCGCATCCCTGGCGCGGACGACTTGGAAGAACTCTGGCAGTTGATAGCGCGTGGCGAATCCAGGGCTGTCGAGGTTCCAACCGACCGCTTCGATCTCTATGGAAGTTTCAAGGCAGGTCTTGATCAGAAATGGGCGAGCAAGCAGAAATTCTGGGGTAATTTCATCGACGATCCGGATCGCTTCGATCACACATTTTTCAAGATCAGCCCGCGGGAAGCCACGAATATGGACCCGCAGCAGCGAGTACTGCTCGAGGTCGCCTATCAAGCCCTCGATTCTAGCGGGTATCTACGAAACCACCGAAGGGAGTCGGCCGACAATATCGGATGCTTCATTGGCGCTAGCTTCGTCGAGTATCTTGACAACACCGCTGTCCATGCGCCGACTGCTTTTACGTCCACAGGCACGATTCGAGCTTTTCTCTCGGGCAAAATTAGCTACCAGTTTGGTTGGCATGGCCCTTCTGAGGTCATTGATACGGCTTGTTCGTCTTCCCTGGTAGCAATAAACCGAGCGTGTAAGGCGATTCAAAGTGGAGAGTGCTCCATGGCTCTAGCCGGTGGCGTCAATGTTCTGACCGGCGTCCACAACTTCTTGGACCTCGCCAAAGCTGGTTTCTTGAGCCCTACTGGCCAATGTAAGCCGTTCGATGTAGCTGCAGACGGATACTGCCGCGGTGAAGGCTGTGCTTTAGTGCTTCTCAGGCCTTTAAAAGAAGCTGTTGCCGAGGGACAGCAGATTCTCGGTGTCATTCTAGCCATCGCAACCAACCAAGGTGGCCTTTCACCGAACATTACAGTTCCGTCTTCACCAGCTCAAAAGACCCTCTACAAAAGACTTCTCAGACAATCAGCTCTGCAGCCGGACCAAATTTCATATGTTGAAGCCCACGGAACTGGAACGCAGGTTGGCGACCCACTCGAGATAGCCACTGTGCGTGAGGTTTTTGCGGGCCCTTCTCGCGCAACAGCTCTCTCCCTAGGTTCGCTCAAGGCGAACGTAGGTCACGCAGAGACCGCAGCAGGCGTGCAGAGTCTGTGCAAGATCCTCACCATGCTTCAGCATGAAGGCGTACCTCCAATTGCCAATTTCAAGTCCATAAACCCCAAGATTGGATCTCTGGAAGCTGACAAGATGAAGATCCCGACGGCTATTGAAGCATGGGACGCACCTTTCAAGGCGGCCTGCATCAACAGTTATGGAGCTGCCGGTAGCAACTCTGCTCTGTTCTGCAGTCAACCACCTCAGGTCGCTAAAAGGGGATCGGTGGATGTACACAACAAGAACGAGAGATTTCCGCTCATCCTCAGTGCAAATTGCGCAGCGAGTCTCCACACAACCGCCGAGAGCTTGGTTCGCTATCTCGGGCTGCCAGCTCAAGAGAACCTTAGCCTTGCGGACGTTGCCTTCACCCTGGCCGAGCGGCGAAAACGCCACTCAGTGCGGCTGATCGCTTCCGTCTCAGCTTCCTTGCCGTCATCTGAGTCCTTGCTACATGCCTTGAAGAACACATCCGATATTTTGATTCCAGAACAACCAAGGAAAGTGTGCCTCGTGTTTTCAGGCCAGTGCCGCCAGATTGTTGGACTACACGAATCGAGTTATAAGTCTGTGCCGCGTCTACGCAGGTACATTGACGAGTGCAATGCGACCCTTACGGACCTAGGCTATCCGTCAATGCTTCCCGGCATCTTCAGCCAACAACCCACCTACGATGTGGTTTTGCTCCAGTGCGGAACTTTTGCCCTACAGTACGCATGCGCTATGAGCTGGATTGATTCGGGTCTTTCGGTCGCAGCAGTCATCGGTCACAGCTTTGGTGAGCTGACAGCAATGGTTGTGTCTGGCATCTTGTCGCTTCAGGATGGTATGCGGCTTATTGCTGCACGAGCAAGCCTGATACATTCCAAGTGGGGTCCGGAGCGAGGTACCATGCTCGCTGTGTATACGAATAAGCAAAGGATGGCCACCTTCATCAAAGACAGCGGCTTGTCTCTGGAGATAGCGTGTTTCAACTCCGCCTCTAGTCAGGTCGTCGTGGGCAAAGACAAAGACATCGAGAACCTTGAGGGATTCTTGTCTGCCAAGACTAAACCACAGATCCGTTCTCAGCGCCTTGACGTTAGTCATGCTTTCCACTCAATTTTTACGGAGTCCATTCTTGACGACATAGAAGTTGTTGCAAAGGCTTTGGTATTTAGAGAGGCGACCATCCCATTCGAGCCCGCAACGTCATTGCAGAGGACCGTCGTTACATCCGACAGGATTCGCGAACACACGCGAGCGCCAGTGTATTTCGAAGAAGCTATCAAACGCATTGAGAATGCTCATGAAAATTGCGTCTTCGTCGAAGCTGGCATAGGCTCGCCCATCACATCGATGGTCAAGCGAGCGGTCACAAAGACGGACGCGCACTGTTTCGTTCCTGTCGATTCAGGCAGCGCAGAGGACTCGACAGCCGGGTTCCTAGCAGCAACTATCAAGCTTTGGAGCGAAGGCATCGACACAACATACGTTCCGTTTCTTGACAATGCTCAGAGGGGAATTCATCAAGTTTGGTTACCTCCGTACAAGTTCCAAAAGACGAAACACTGGCTGCCGAACATTGACCGGGCTGTTAAAGCCTTGCACCGCGACTCTTCGGCAATATCAACCACAAATGGCCATAAGAGCGTATTTGCCAGCCCTATGCTTGTCGTTCCAAGAGACGCGGAATCCTCCTCGTCTAGAAAAGTGTTCGAGGTCAACGCTGCGACCAAGAGATTCCAAGCTATCGTTAGAGGTCATGCAGTCCGTGGCCGAGCGCTATGCCCCGCGTCGATGTATATGGAGTTTGCAATTATGGCTCTGGACCTCTTAGGCGTCGAAGTACAACACAATGCTTTGCAATTCTCCGAGGTCAAGTACTCTTCGCCACTTGGACTTGGCGCCACCCGTAGTATCGAGGTGGCTCTGAGCAAGCTCGAGTCACATTCTTCCTGGCACTTTGAAGTAACCAGTACTAGTAGAGACAATCTCTCTGGAAAGCCAATCATACATGCCGCTGGTACTGTTGACATCAATCAGAAGGGTGTCAGTGGCCTGTGGGCATACCAACGTCTGGTTGCAAGTCGAATCTCTCAGATTCCAGATGCTGCTCGAGCAGAGACTTTGCGGTCTTCTCGTGCCTATGATTTATTCTCACGGGTCGTGATGTATGGGCCTGTCCTCCGCGGCATCGAATCTGTGACCATTGCCGGTAACGAAGCTTTGGCTACCATTCAAGTACCGAACTCTGAGGCCGACTCCGGAGAGAGCACAGTGTCGACGCGTTTCGATGCCGTCTCGCTTGATATCTTTATCCAAGTCATTGGTTTGATGATCAACAGCAGCGGACAGAACAGTCCTGATGAGGTATTCATTGCTAGTGCCATCGATCAAGCGTTTGTTACAGCAAGTATCAATTTTCGTGACTCTCGCAACTGGACTGTCTATGCGATCTTCACACCGCAAGGTGAGCGGAAGGTATCTGGGGATGTCTTTGTGCTCAACCAAGAGGGAGTCCTGGCCGTGAACTACCTCGGCTGTCGATTCACAAAGATGCCCGTGGTTGTCCTGGAGAAACTGTTAGACAACGCCAACCGTGCTGCCAATGCCAAAGTGGCAATCAAGGGTGTTCCAGCTGTCACCAAGAACATGTCACCGTCTGACTCGGACAAGACCTCAGATTCGGACGAAGAGGCATCATCGGAAACCGGCGCTGATACTGATATTACGGTCTTAAGCTGGGATAGGGAAAATGGATTCAATAAGAAGCTGGAGGTGTTGAAAAGCACGATTGCCCAATTCGTGGGCATCACTGTCGGAAAAATGCCAGAGCAAGCACGAATGGACGATCTTGGTCTCGACTCGCTGGCTGCGATAGAGCTTGTCGACGAAATTGAGAAAATCTTCGGAATAAGCATTCCGTCAAAAGAAATTGCAAACGAGTCTGTACTCTCGATTACGGCCCGGCTCCAATCGACATCAACGGCACTCCCGCTACCAAAGAATACAGCGAAACCCGTGCTCACTGCCAGGTCTGCGGCTACACCTACTGCTGGGACGCCAAAATCTCCCTCAAAGTCCTCCTCGACTAGCGTGGACTACACTAAGTTGCTGGCTGTTATCGCAGATAACTGCGGTGTGTCTGTCAATGCTATTCAGCCTAGGGATTCTCTACGATCTCTGGGCGTCGATTCGCTATCTTCTGTGGAGTTGAAATCGTCTGTCGAAGACGAATTCGAAGTGGACATTGGCAATGAGCAGTTGAGCTTGGAGTCGACAGTGCAGGACATTATTGATTTCCTGAGTGCTCAAGGTCGTGCGCTGGTAAAAGGTAAATCCTTCCCGAGGTAGAAATAAGATGGGGTGACTGATGCTAAATGAGCAGAACAACCTAAGACCGAAGATGCGGTGGCTGCTCTCGGGGTTTCAAATCGTCCTCGCACAGCTAAGTTGCAGCAGAAGAACAATGTTGTATTGTCAAACGGAGTCAAACAGGCGCAGGAGAAATTGTTGACTTTCGTCTACAAAGTCGAGGATGGTGTTGATATTGAGGCGGATGTGTACTTGCCCAATGACGTTCCAAGTTGTCCGATGCCTATAGGTGTGTCACCGTCAAATGCGGTGGAATCGTTGACATGCTGATTATCTTGAAGCTATCATGATCCACGGAGGTGGCTACATGACACTCTCTCGCAAGGCCATTCGCCCACATCAGACTGCTCACCTCCTTGCGAACGGGATTTTACCAGTGAGCATTGACTATCGCCTTTGCCCTGAAGTCAATGTTCTCGACGGAGCCATTTCAGACGTGCGTGATTCAGTGTTCTGGGTGCAGCATTCACTACCGAAATTTCTAGAGCGAACGGGCATCGAACTGGACGCAAGTCGTGTTGGGATCATCGGCTGGTCCACGGGGGGCCATCTTGCCTTAACTAGTGCTTGGACAACAAGAGCCTCGGGGATACAGCCACCAAGGACTATTCTGTCTTTCTACGCGCCCACAGGCTTCGAATCCGAAGATATCGACGCGGACAGAAAATTCCCGGAACGAACAATTTCAATACATGACATCAGGACGTCACTTCTAGCAAAACCGTTGACCAGTTACGAGTCAAAGGGCGATGCAAAATACCTCGAGGGCGTTGGATTTGTGCGCCCGAGTGATCCGCGATCCGCTCTAGTTCTGTCAATGTTCAAAGAGGGCATTGGCCTTCCGCTTATCCTAGACGGAATTCCTCCACCCAACAGTGAGGGCGATACGGTCTTCAAACGCCCGGACGCAGCGAGAGTCGAATTAATCAGCCCGCTCGCTCAAGTAAGAAAGGGGAACTTTTGCACGCCAACATGCGTGGTACATAGCAAAGTGGATAAAGTGGTACTCATAGACTCTGCAGACAGGTTCGTATCTGCGCTCAGTGAAGCCGGTGTCGAACACAAGTTCGTCAGGCTAGACAGTAGCAAGCACCTCCACGACCTTCTGTTAGAGCCTGGATCAAGGCAATGGGACGAGGAAGTAGAGCCTGCCTACAACTTCTTTCTGGAAATATTGCTGAGGTGACGATGTCGACTCACTTGAGTATGCTTATGCAGATTTATGCAGATTTTAGAGGGTACCTGCTGGGCAGGAACGTCGACCCGAAATCTTGAACTAACAAGTTTCCTCCCTTTCCGAATCCCTGTTATTTCGAACTCCACCATACGATCACAGTAATATAAGGAAAACGTATATAGTTTAAAAGGTGTCAAGCAAAAATTGCACGATTTCTTCCACTGCCCGGCATAGACTTTTTCAGATGCCTTTGTATGACTTCCAACTCGTTCAGATCTTCATTAATTTGACTTTGTTATATCTGCAGTGTCGCGATATTGTGAAGTTTTTTTCTTCTCATGGTGCATCACCTGGTTTAGTATTGCCAGACCAACTCGTGGCCGCGCCATCTCTCCTACAAGCTCAAGTCGTGAAGGCAAAAAACTACACCACTGAGAATACAATCAAGGACGAGTAGAAAGACTAATATGAGAGAATAACATGGCTGAAACACAGATATGCCGCTGCTTTATTGACAATTCCAACTTATGGATCGAGGCCAAGGCCAGGAAGTTTACCGCCAAAGAAAACGACCATATGCCCACTCTTCAAGGTACGGGAAGCAAGAACGAGGACCCGCAGCCACGCATTGACATATTCGAAATAACCTTTCTTTCTTTTCTCTTTGCTTTATTGAGATCTTTTTTTAATTAAGGTAAATATAATTAGGTAATTTATTAAATATAATTACTATACTTAGCTTTAAATCTTTATATTAAATCCTAATTCTTACTAAGATTTATTAAAAGTCGAATTAAATTTCAAACTCAAATAATAAAAGTTAAATAATACAAATAAATAATAACTAAATCCTATTTATTAAAAACAGATAATAATAATAAGTTATATAAATAATTATAATAAGCCTTATAAGAATTATAATTAATAATTACTTTAGATATTAATATCTTTTCTTTATTAAATAATATATTTAATTAGCTAATATAATTATTTAATTAGTATTATTTATATTTTATTACTTATATCTTATTACTTATATTTTATTACTTATATTTTATTACTTTTAATTACCTTTAAATTATATAATATAGTTATATTATTAAGAAAATATACTAGAAATATACTAGAGATATTTAGAATACTAAGCCTCTTATAAGCTAGTATATTATTACAAGTATAAGATCTAGGGCCTAAAAGATATAATTAGATTATCTTTATTTTAATAATTTAAAGCTAAAAAGAGAAGAGAATCTTAAAAAAGCCTCGGATCTAAATAATTACAAGCTATATACGGGCCTATATACTAGTTCAAGCTCGGGATTATATATAACTATTAGGTAACTATAGATGCCTTATTTAGATACCAGATACTATAATATAGCAGGCTATATTTATTAAAAATCATATTGTTTTAGTAGTTTTAAGGTTTAGGTTATATAGTAAAGGCCGCGGCTTTTTATATATAACTTACGGAAATCATATAAGAAAGCTGGTTTTTCTATAGACTTAGAGAATAATTCTTTATAAGTATTTAATTAATTAAGCTTTTATATACTATCTACTATTTATATTTTATTATTTATACTTTTAATTTATTATTTTATTATTAAGTTATATTTATATTCTAATATACTTTATATAAGTTTTTGTTTTATTATAGTTTCTCTTTTATATATTTTATAATAAGTAATATAGGGAAGATAGAAACTTTATAATTAAGGTAATACTCTTATAAAGTTCTGAGAGATATCTATAAAGCGGATTATTAGCTTAGTAAGTTAAGAGAGAAAAAGGGCTATTATAATACCTTAAGTCTAAGGCTAAAATATTAAGAATATATAAGTATTAATCTTAGTATCTTATATTAATTTCTAATATATCTAATAATTTGGATATGAATTAGCTATAAGATATAGTTACTAGTATAATATATAAAAGTAGTAGAAATAGAGACTAATTATAAAAGGAAAAGAAATAAAGGAAATAGAATAAGAAAGATTATACTAAGATAATATGAATTAGATCTTAGTTAGAAATAGACTTTAGTATTCGGAAATAAAGTTATATTATTAATTTATATATTATTTTTAGTTATAATAAAGACCGGAATAAAGGTAATATTAGTTTTAGTAAAAAAGCTTATTACTAAATCCGGAAAAGATACCTAAAAAAGGAAATATTCTTAATTTTAAGTAAAATAGTAAACAGGAATCGGAAATAAAAATTAAAAAGAAATCGGAAATAAGAAATTATATAAATAAACTAGAGAAGTTTCTAGAAAAAGAAATAAATACAAAATAAAAAAACAAAAGAGAATTCAGAAAAGTCAGAAAAGAAATTATATTTATTATTTTTATTATTACTTTTAATAATATTAATAGATATATCCAGTATATCAAAAAAATAATTAAGGTAATTAATTATATTTAATTAAATTAATTTTCTAATTAATTATAATTTGATTATCGACTTCCAAAAAAATAATTAATTATTAGACTAATTATAATTAAATATATTTAATTATTTTTAATTATCACGTGACAGTTATATAAAAGTTATATAAATAATAAGTTCTCTTCTTTTTCTTTAAATAATATACGATTAAAGCGTAGAGAGAGCAAAGGTAAGTTAATTTCCTAAGAAAAGAGAAGGAGAGCAAAGTAATATATATGTGAATTATTTGCTGCGGATATTACATAATCACACCACGTGACTAGGGAAGCCAAAACCACTACCATAACACTTATTTACTATTGCAATAAATGCGGGTATATATAGTATATATTAGATATCCAAGGAAGAGAGGTGTAGTGTGGGTGGCCAGAGCTTGAATATAATAATCATGGTCACGTGAAGACAAGTCACGTGGTCAGCCTGCAGTTGCCATGCAACAGTTATAAAGATAAGTAAAGAAAGTAAAGGCGGCATACTAGCTATTAAGCCTATTATAGTAAGGTAATATCTAAATTAGGCTAGAATAAACTTTATTTTTGCCCGATAACGCTTGTGCTATCTCTATAGTCACGTGTAATACCACGTGACCAAATAATTAATTATATTTAATTAAATTAAGTAAATAATTAATTATAATTTGATTACTACTATTCTGACTTAATTTAATTTGATTACCGGCCAATAATTATAATTAATTAAATTATTTGATATACTAGATATATCTAGTTTAGTAAAATTAAGAGAAAATACTATAGATATTAAGCTAATAAAATAGAAAAGAAAGTATAAGTAATAGAAATAAGACTAGAAAAGCTATTACTTTATTACTACTAATATTAAAACTCAAATCTCGATTATATTTATTATTATTAACTAGTTTCTCTCTAATTCTGGTTCTCAAATTAAAAGATATATTTAAATAAGAAATTAGTTTTTTTAGAAATCTTATTAGTAAAAGTCTCAGGTATAGAAACTTTATAATTAATTATAGAAGAAATTATTGAGATTAATATAGCTAAAAATAAGTATATACTAGTATTGGATTTGAATCTGCTATTTATAGAAGCTCCTGAAATACTATAGTTTTAGGGAAATAATATTTCTATATTCTTGAAATAGTATATAAATATATATAAGAACTATTATATTCCTAATAATACTAAAAGAAAGAGAATTATCCGTTATATCTCTTCTATTTATAAGAATTAGATTAAGACTATATTAGAGTACTATACTAATAATCCAGGAAATTACTAGAAAACCAAGTTCTTTAAAGCCTTACTAAAGGAATTCCGAGAATATAACTAGGAAATACTTAAAATTAGCTATAACTTTCTTAATTAGATTATTATATAAGTTTAGAATAGAAAAATCTCTTTCAAGTCTTATATTAATATATTTAATAGAATATTAAAGAAGTTACTAAAAGGAAAAAGATAAATGAAATTATTTAGTATCGAGAATTTATAAGAGAATTATCTATTCTAATAAGAGATTATATTTTTAAGAATACGAACTTTGAGTTTATAAATATTTCTATTTATAAATATAATAAGATATATAAGAAAGTAGTAATATTCTATTAGTATAAAAAGAAGAAATACTATTTTAATATTACTAATAACCCAGATATATCTAGACTTAAATAAGAATACTTGAATATAATAGTCTATAATATAATTCTTAAACTAGAAGATAATTATTCTTTACTAATACTTTCTATTATATTTCCTGAAATTACTATAAATATAAGTAAGAAGAAAACCTAGCCTGCGGCTAATTATATAAAACCTACTAAAAGTAGTAAACTTAAGAAAGATAATATTAACTAGCTAGTAAAAAGTCTAGAAAAACTATTTATTATTATTATAACTCAGGAGAACCTATAAAGATAGCTTAATATAGCTATTATTATAATTCGGGAAAATATCTATAGCCTATTTATATAATCTAGTTAATTATAATAAGTATAATAGTATTAATAGCCTAGTAAATATAATTCGGGTCTTTAGGGAAAATATACTAGAAGTTATAATAGAAGTTATAAAGAATACTATAGTAGCTATAATAGTTAAGCTAGAATAAATAAAGAATCTAAATAACTATGTTCTAGAGAAAGTTAGTCTCAAGTATAATTAGAAAATACTATTTAAGTTAATATAGCCTATAATATAGACTTAAAACCGAAAAAACGAATTTACTATAAATACTATAATAGAAATAAGAATAATAATATTAATCTAGAATATATTTATATCTTTTAGTTCTATTACCTATTAATAAAAGAACTTATAAATTATAAATATACTTATTAATTTAATAGAAAATAATATAAAGAACTATTTAAGTCTAAATAAAAAAGCATTTCCTTTTTCCTTATTAGTAAATACTAGTAATTTAACTAAATTGTTTCCTAAGTCTAAAGAGAAGAATTCAACTATAACTTAAATATTTGACCTAAAAATATTTAGAGATTAATAGAGGATATCTAGTTTACTAGGCAAGAAAGAGAAAAGAAAACTGGCTAACCGGGATCTATATATAGAAACAAGCAAATTATATCTAGGGAATCTAAATAGCCGCTTTGTCTTAGAGAAAATTATATTAGAATTACTAATATTTCGGGTTCTGAAATTAATAAATAGTACTAAGATTTGGCTATAAATAGTATTTCTATTAATACTATAATAGGTTCTTTATTAAAAAAAAAAGGAAAGAGAAATAGAAATAATTAAAAAGGTTTTCTAAAAACAAGCTAGAGTAGTAAAAAAGCTATTATATATAAGAAGCCAGAAAAATACTATTTTAA